GAGACTCCAGGTACTGGCAAAGTCAAAGATGCATTGCCTGCTTGCCGCAGCGCAGTGGCGCATGCCGTTGGCATTCACAACCCAAAATGGACTGCATGCTGGTCACTGGAACTCGCAGATGGCAGCTTCAGAGAAACAGCGCGCGCGAGCGCGGTGCAATCTTTCTTTCCCAATCTTTCGAGCTATTTAGTGTCATTGGCCACAACTTGTTGGGTCACGGTGAGCTATGAGACCGAGCGTATGTAGCTTGAACACTGTGTTTTGTTCTTATCCAGAGTGTAAGATAAGATTGAAACCCGCGCTTGTGGCACGGCTGGGTACGCAGCAGCCGGGCATGGATGGGCGCGTTGAGTGTGGGTAATGGAGGAACATGACTCATAAACCCCTCAGGTCGAAATGCAAAACCCGCGGATATAGGGTCCCCTTTGTGTACACCCCAACGCTGCAATCGGAAAGTAAAGAGAGAGTTGCAGGTTGATTTTTTCGGGTGCCGGTCTTGAAGGCGGTGGTACCCTTTGCGAGCCTGAACCTTGCTTGGTTATTAAACAAACTGGAATAAGAAATGTGCTGTTTCCGGCTAGCAGTAGTTGTTGTTTTTGAATTTCTGGAATGGCAACCCCTTGAGACAAGGAGTTCGCATTGGCAATAGCTTTGGTACAAGTATTCTCGAATTCTGTCTGTTGTATTTTCCGATTTTGGGCCGCAGGTTAATCAGAGGGCTTCTGGGAGGTGCCCCCCCCAAAAAATGAGGGTCTTTTGGCCAAACCTTGTGGGATCTTGTGGGTGCTTTTAGAATAGTATTGGCTGGCAGTCGGCTGGGAAAACCGCGTGTCTTATGTGTCGAGGTTTATTAATCATGTGCCGACACTACGGCTGTGCACGGCTAGGTGCAGCTGTTTGTGTACGGCTGGGTGCTGCTGTGCTAAGTTTGCTGCCGCCGGCTGCTTGGCGGATAGAGGTGGTGTGCTAGAAGGTGGTGGGGGAGTAGGGCAGGGTCCTTGAACAATGTTCCAATTGAGGGTGCTGGCTGCTTTGCGCAGGGCTGTGATTGGCCAACGAAAGGAAACTGGTGTATCATTTACATGTGGTTTGCGTTTTTTGTTGGGGCTCGGCACCTTTTTCAGGGTAGTTTAAAGGGCCTGGGATGACGACCGAAATCCATGTCGGAGTCCCCCAATTTTGGCACAGATCCGTGTGAATCTACCCTCCCACTAGCCTGGCAGCTGACTGTGAATTTGGTGGGAGTGTATGTCCACCAACTTGTTGACCTTTTCTGGGAAGACCGGGTAGGCCATTTTGTGCCCAAAGGTGTGGTTTCCTTAGCGAGACAGCTCAGCGGAAAGCACCCGATCCTGTTCGAGTTGGACTGCCTCATCTGAAATCCCCATGCGGCGGGCTGAAAGCAGAGACCCAGGGTAGCACGTGATCCACGTAGCTTTTGCTTCGATAGAATATCAGTTTGTTTCTCGAGACCAAGGGCCCCAGTTGCTTGGGCCCTCAAGCTCAACAGCAAAAGCCAACTTCTTCCAACTTTCCAACGAACAAGGAAGCCTATGTGCGCGGGGCCAAAAAGAATGAATTCCCGAAGCCACTTCCTTTTTGACTCGCGCAGTGAAGAGTGCGTCTTCCAAAATGGAACTTGGGCAATAATCCATGTTTAAGGATATTTTCAGGGACTAGGTACTTGGCCCGCCCAGCACCTTTTTTGGAAGGCCGCGTTCGTGGTAAACGAAAGGTTGTGACTTTGTTTGGGCCATCGAACTCAGGCAGTGAGTTGTGGAAAAGGCTAGATATTGTTCTTTGAGTTTGCCGGATGCTTCACAAGCAGCTCATTTAGAGGCTGTTCCCCAAGATAGTACGAGCCCAACAGGTGGTAAAACGAGCTTACTCATCATGAAGCCTTTTACTTGGGGATTCAATATTTGTCCGGTTTGTGAATCGCCTCAAGTTGCTCAGGCACTCGATTGATTTTTCGTTTTGCAGCTTCCTCCTTACGGCAAGCAAAAAACCACCATCGAGCTGTGGCACGATTTGTCCTATGGACTCCCCTTACAATTGGACGACTCCCTTTGGCACGAGGATTTTCCACCCTTTGGAATTTCAAGTCAAGCCTTTGGCCACAGTTTTCATGTGCTGAATCGAGCTTCGATTCGGCGATTCGGCCAAAAGAAGCCTCTGACATCGCCCGAAGTTCGGTCGAAAAAAGATGCGGAGTGAGTTGCTGGGATGGATCCTTCCCTTGAAGTCTGGCTAAACCACCCGAAATATATTCCTCTTTGGTTCCGTGTTCAGTCCACACTGAAGCGTTGGGTTTTCGGATGTTTTGGTCACGATCTCCGAACAAAAAGAAACAGAATGCAATTTCTGGTTGCCAATCCACGGAGTGATTCAATTCCCCAGCGTAAATACCAACAAACGTTATGGTTGTTCAACCATGGTTTCATTTCGGTGCATTTTGAAATGGATTTTGTTTTTTCCATCCGCGGCATGCTTACATTGTGTTGGGTGTCCTTCCAGAGTCCAAATGGCCCTTGAGTCCAGCACCGAGCAAGAGATGTTCAATCTGTTGGCATGAAGACATTGCGGCCGATCCTGCAAACCTTCAATTGTGACCTCAAAAGACGGATGTGACATAGAAAATGATGTCCCTAAACGCGGGGTTTCCTTGAGGCATAGAACTCAAACTTACCTGAAAAGACGGGACTATGTAGCATGAGGGTTGGAATGGGCAAATCGATCGATGTCACTTGGGGGCCTTTGAAAAGCGTTGCAAGTGGAGGTTCCTTGCTTGCTGTCGATTTCTCATTTTTGGTTGAATTATGATAGTATAGTTTCCCCAGGTTGCGCTCCTTTGGCAGAATTTCGGGCTGCAAGCCTTTCAGCCAACAAAGCGTGTCTACAGCCAAAGATGGAAAAGGCCTCTAGAGTGGTACTACGGGTGGACGAAATCCATTTCGCACCCCCTGTGAAACCCTGGAATGATACGATTCTCCTGCAAATACCAACAGACAGTGGTTTCAACCATGGTTTCAATCATGTGGTGCGAAATGGATTTCATCCACAGTTTGCTTCGGACTGTTTGCCTTCGGCTCAAGTACTTTTCGGTTGCGGTTGCTTGGCTCTCGCTTCGCCTCCCTTTTTTTTGGGCCAGGTTGCTCAGGGCGATCCCCTGCTGGCGCTGCAGCTGCAGAAGGCAACGCCAAATCACAACCCTGGGGGTTGGCAAAAATCAAAAAAAACAACAAAACCACCTGGATAGCCAAATTGCGATCGCTTTTTTCAGTCACTGTTGCTGGTGTTTGGGGTAAAGTGCATGGAAAACAAACAGCAGCAACTGGCGATCCAGGCACGGATTATTGTTTCTTCCGCGAGTTGCCCCCTGTTTGGTTTGAACAGAGCCAAAAAACAGAAGACTTGCCACAGTGAAGTAGCGAATTCACCTTTTGATCTATCTGAGTTGGGTTCCCATGCTTAGTCAAGGTTCCAAAAGGTGATCACCTTATATTTTCAGGTTCTGGAATGGGCAAGTGAGTCATACCTGCAACCCTTCAAACGTATAGCGTGTCATGTCCGTCAAAATAAAGTTCCAGCTTGGGTCAAGGTATTGTGCCATGGGATGCCATGGGTCAGACCTATAGTCAACTGATTGTAGAACCGTTTTGTATATTGCGCGTTTGGAGCCCATGAGTCATGCTCATTAACCCTTCCAGGACTTTTGAGGGCTCCATGACAAACAACAATTGGCCCCGCAGTTCTTGTTTTGGACCCAGTCTGGAAGCGAAAAACCATGTTGTTCTTGGAGACCCGATCATGTTGTTGCTGGAACATCCCTCAAATGGTAGAACAATAGTCTTCTGCAGTAAAAAGACACGACAAACACACACTCATCATATTAATATCATGAGAAGCAGACGGAGTGTACTCACTTAAATCCCGAGTCACTTCGGGAACACAAAGACCCCTCTTGGCCACTTCAGCACCCCACCTATGGCCAGCTCGCCGATCTGAAATGGTGGATGTTTCCTTTATAGAGGTCCTATTTTACGCTGAACTATAGTGCTTCGTGCAAATACGATCTCATGGGTGACTGTCTGATAAGTTTGTTCGACGGATCTCCGTGCAGTTGTGTTTCTATTACAAGACAGTATCCTCGGAAAAGGGCCCCGACAAAAGCACATAAATCAAAATACATCGTGTTCGATATACAGAGGTGTTCGCTCTGGATCAGGCTGAACGATCGCAGAGCTTGCAAAAGGAGTGTGCCAAAAGCTGGCAGCAGCATGCAGCCTCCCGTCAACTGTCCAAATGTTACTCCCCACATCCAGTTTCACGTCACAGGGGAAGCGCTAGAGCATCGTATGAATACTACTAGAAATGAAATTACAAAAGAGATTAAAGATAATGGCATGAAGGAAAAGGAACGGACATATAGAAATTACACTCCCTCCTTCCCTCTCGTCTATATGAATCGCTCTTGGTCAGGATGTTGATGGAGCCTCCGGGAAAATTGCAAAGGCTTGGACGAAAGGAACACACTTTTCGTGTCAGGCCAAGCTGGGGATTCCAAAGTGCTGCGGATTGATTACAATCAGGTTCAAAACCATGAGTCATGGTCAGGGGATCGGGAATCGCTGAGATTCTGTCGACTTTGTGAACAGGCTTCTCTCCTTTTTGTCTCAGTTTTTGCAATCCCGGCCAAGCTCCGTTGGTTCCGTTGGCGGTGCTGTTGCTCCGATTCGAAGCTTTAGCTCACCGCCGTTCCCTCGGGAACAAATCTCTGACAGGACAACGCCTGGCTGAAATGAACTTCTTTTCTGTTTTGCTGGTAAAGGGAATTCCGATTTCACGGGAATAGAACGATATGCCTTTTGTCTGATGTCGCAAACCAGGCAGAAGGCAGCAGTCTGTGCTCCATCTTGGGCCTTTGTTCACAAGTGTCCAAACTTGTCGGGACATGGACCAACATCGCGAATGGATCAGCCGTGATCGGAAATTTCACCATGTCCATGTCCCTGACGTTGCCCTTCTTGAGAGGTGTACTTGCTGGTGCTCACTCAGTAGGGATTCTCTTAAAGGAAACCACCTGTTGGATGGAGGGGTCATTGCCTCATTCCCTACTGAGCACCAGCAAGTTTAAGCATTACTTTTGGGGCCTTTGTGTGGTGATGATCAAACAATCCCCCCCAGCCCCCAATATCAATCAAGGAACCAACAAGACCAACAGAGGACTTGGCCTCTTTCCTGCTTCTTGGTCTTTCGAACTTGCAGGGTGATGCTTAACATGAACATCTAAGGAGCCCTGGGTTTCCAAACATGTTCACACCACTGTTGCTTGAACAACCTGTGTTTGGTCTCCCCAGTTAAAGGGGTCAGGATTTGAATGTTTAAGCACAATTTTTGCAACCAAGAGGTGAAGGCGGCGCAGGCCAAAAAAAATACCTGAATTTGTGTTCTTTATACATATATATATATATATATATTATGTTGTTATTGTTGTTATTGTTTGTTATTCTTATTAGTAATATTATTATTATTATTTGCTTTATTATTTGTATTCTTGTTACTGTGATTCTTAATATGACTATTATTATTACCATTATTATTATTGTTTAACGATGATGATACTACTAATAACAGTAACAATAATATGGACCTCCCGATTTCCAGGAGAAATCCACTTGGGCTTTTTCGGTGCGGAGGAGGTTCTCCTCCGCCGAAATCGTTCGGTTTTGCCGAAATCGCAGGTGGCGGAGGCGCTGAGTGGGAGCAAGGGCCGACAGTTGAAGGACCGCACGAAGATCTTCAAGGCGGGAGGTTTGTCTCATTTGAGGGGGTGCTCTTTTTTTTCTGGGGGGGATTCCCCAAGGCGAACTTTTAGGCGAAGCCTAAGGAACCCTTTCTGGGGCTCTCAACTTTTCACCTCAGGGATTCCTAAGGAACCCATGGTCAAAAGACTGGTTCCTTTACTTGGGGTTAACTTTGGGATGGCAATCTAAGGATCCTTCAGCATGAAGAGATTCCGATTTAAAAGGAACCATGATCAGGAGAGCCCATTTGCGGGGTCCCATTCGAGGTGGTTGTCTTAAACCCTAAGGAACCCGTTCTCGCGCTCTCAACCCTGATGGATTCCATAACTTATAGTCAAAGACCGGTTCCTTTCGGCCTGTTGGGATGGTAATGGGATAAGATCCTTGACACTGATGACCCCAAGGGACCCATGACCATAGAATGAGACTTTCGCTTCTCCGAATCAACGCGACTGCCTTTGGTTTCTTGGTTCCAACTCTTGGCCAGATCCCTTGGAGCATCTGGATTTTTTTTGTGCCCTTAAGGTATTCTTTAGTTGGCCCCCTACAAATTTAGAATCGGCGCCAATTCCAACAGCACCCGAAACTGGCTATTTTTTTATGTGATTCGCCACCTGCCTCCCTGCTTACCTAAGTACTCGACCCAGTGGAAACTGAAAAGAGGAGTTTGAACCATTTACATCCCCTACTTTAAAACAATAAAGTAAAAATAATGTATTCTTTGATTTTTGTTTGACCCGTAGAAAGAACGTGTACTTTGTGGCACAACTCAAACTACTTCCTGCCACACGAAACAGAGCAACCAGGGGCCCCCTAATACTAAATATTTGTTTTTCCTGGAGAGCCTTTTTTATTGGGGTCCTCGCGTTTGATAGTAGGGGGAAGGGAAACATGAACCCTCGATGAATAAACCCCCGGTTGATTTTGGAGCTTTTGGTTCTCGATTCGGACCACTGGATACTGTGGCTTGCATCTCCTTTCGGAATGTCCACCGTGAAGACTTCTCGTGGCCTTGCAGGAGCTATACCTGCTTCTCGTTGTCCATGCCGTTTTTTGGTGGAAAAGGTGTTTTCCTTTGGGGTCGGGAGGGGCATAGCCTCAGGTAACCCCAAGCTGTGGGTTGCTTCTCCTTTCAGCTTGACTTAACCACTGGCTGCCCTAAGGTTTCTTTTGTGCCTTCTAGGCACTGGGACCCCTTTTTTCAGTCAACCATCTTTGCCCTTTGGTCTTTGGGTTGCTGGTGGACAAATAGGGGGGTGCTCAACCCTGACAGTGAAGGAATTCTCTCTTAAGCGGGACCCCGCAAGAGGGTTGAGCCTGGGTCCACAGTGTTTTTTGAGGGTTCCCCGTTGTGCTTTTGAAGGAACGCCAAAAGGGAAACCATCATTTTGGGGACTGCGTCTCTATATCGGATGGCTGTACGCCGGTACGGTTGGTTACATATTTACAGCTTTTGCTTTACTGTGTTTGTGGATGGGTACCGTCCGAAGAAAATGCCAAGCCATGTAGGTCTACATTGGGTCCGCGTAGGAACCCAGATTGAAAACCCGGTTGAATGGGGAGGGATATATTCCAGACACAACCAAGCACCGGCTGCAACTTCTGGGGGTAGTGTCCATTTGTGAAAACTGGAGTTGGCGCACCTTCAGGCGTACATGACAAGAGGTGTATCTTGTTTGTTGGTCGAATCATGTCTTGATCACTATTAGCTTGCTGATCTTCAAGGTGATGTGGCAATGGGAATTTGGAAAAGCTCAAGTAGTTTCTGGGGGGTTAGTATCGGTGAATCATGGGAATCAGGTCAACCCAGGGAGAATCAGCTGTAGCAAAATACAGCAACCCCCCCCGGTAAAAGGGCGCTTACGGTCTATTTTGCAACCTTTAAGGGTATTGGTTTTGTTGGGTTCTTGGTTGCAAAATCGACTCCACCCTACCCCCCCCTACCCACCCCCCACCCACCCCCCCCCACCCACCCCCACCCCCTGAGGCCACTGCCGGGGTGCCTATCCCAGAAGGGAACTGGTACCCTGTGGTAGTAGAGGTCGTTGATTTGGTCCCTGGATCTATTCCGGAGAGAGTCCAATATGCCAATATGGAGGATTGGAGGATGGATTGTCCCTGGTGGCTTGTGTTGACTGTGATACCTATAAAGCGGTCTGCAAGCCTTTTTATCAATGTACCACGAGTCGAGTGACTGTACAAATGACTTGAAGGGCCTTGAGTCAGCGGAGTGTGTGAATAGGTCAATGTGCAACAAAAAGCAACACAAAACAGACACACATTTCTTTTGACCTTTCACACCGAATTGTATGATTAGCTTCTTGGCCTTACGTGCCGTAGCCATACTAGCCATGTACTGTTACAATGATTCATCCAATTTTGGCGCGGATGATTTGTCATGTGAGCAAAATGGAAAACAGCAAAATGGAAAACAGTCTGTACTGATTCTGTGAGATACCTAGATGTATCGAAAAGGTGATGCACAACGCTATGTACACGCGGGACGGATGTGAAACTATTGATCTCTCACTGAATAGTCTTGCACTGAATAGTCTTGTTGGCGGTGAGGATCAATCTGGTTGAAGTTCGTAGTGCCGATCGTTGGAGTCTTCTCAGTCGGTCGAATAAGTGCCAAAGGTGGCTGCTTCATCAGGTGGTCAACGGTACCACCGACGGCTGCTGTCGGATTGACTGCCATAGTCTCCATAATCATTCCAGGTCGAGTCGCCATTGCTTTGGATTGCCCCAGTACTGCTTGTTGTGCTCCTTGTACTCTTGCTGAGTCCAGGGTTGCTTCTTCTTGAGGTGCTCCTTGGATCTCTCAAAGTTGCGTTGCCTGGCGGCAGATCTGCTGCGGATGTAGACCATCAGCGGACTGTGTGATTCGGAATCTTGAGAGCCATTCATGAACAGATCGTTGTTGAAGTGCTTGAAACGTTTCGCGGATGAGACCTGATAGTCGAAAATGGCAGACGCCGGATAGTTGTTCATCTTTCATGGCGTTCATCTCTTCCTTCCGGAAAACCTGCTGGATATTCGTTTTGCCCCATCCAAACACGAAAGTCATCATCACATCTGGGAATGTTCGATCATACCCTGATCCAGTCTTCATGTATAGGTGATGGCGGACGATGGATTTTAGGGTGCATGAAGTCTCCATTGCACACTCCATTCTGTCCACGAGTGGCAGATTCTCCGTTTCATTCCACAATCTCTGATATGCCTTCATGAGGATATTCATGAGACCGTTGGCCGGATTGAAGACGTGCTGGAGTCTGCTGTAGGTATTCGCGGATTTGTTGGCGTCTCCGGTGATCGCATCGCATTGGTACAATGTCACGAGCGGCATGATTTCGTTCTGAAGATCTTCCCGTGCTGCTCCATGGCTGATTGATGGATGAATGTGAAAAACTCCAATGGTAGCAAACAGGAGGTCTGCCCTCGTTGCGTGGCGGCTGTCAAACTCAAGGAGTGATTTGTTGGATGATTTTGGAAGCATACTACGATACTCATCACTCTGCTCGATGTGGAGAACGACGATCTCTTTGTTACGCCCGTGTCCTTGGACAGTGGTGCGTGGTGGCAATCTCGGTCCAATGTACTTCTTGGATTCAGTGAACATGGATGTTCCCGTAGTTGCCAGGCAGTCCGAGGTCGGAATGTCGTATTCAGGATCAGTGCAACTTTCTTCGGTTCCGAAGAAACATCTGAGCATCTGGTTCCCCAATTCTGGCTCTTTGTGGAAATGTGCCGTGCCAATAGTTCCACTCTTGCGGAAGGTCCGCCGCGTACAAAGCATGCGATTGGTCTGGATGAGCATTGCTTGATAACGATGCCCTTGTACCCAAACCGGATGAACGTCTTGATGAGTTCTCTGGATTTCTCATCTTGAGGACTGAGGAATGCGTCTGCTTCATTTAGGCATTTAAGATGTGTGCGCTGTTCTGCATCATCATCTTGACGACTGGTCGATCCTTCATCGCCATGTTGTACACCTCCTTGCTGTCCAGCTTTGGATTCCTCGTGAGGTTTCCATGGTTCATAGTAAGCATGTTGATCGTCAGGGATGAGGTGAACTCATGCGTCTTGAGATGGTCCACAGGGGAACGGTCGGTCGGCTGCATCAGCGATCCCAGGATATCGGCAAATGCTCGTATGACTTCTGGTTTGTCATATGACTTAGGCTTCTTCAGTTGACTTGGAAGCTTAATCGGGTATCCTGATAGTGGCTGTGCCTTCCTGTACTCGTCCATGGTTGGACATTCTCCTCGATGGTGGAAATAGAACTTTTCTTCTTCGAGGTTGACATCTGGATCGACGTGTGCCAACGAGGCTCTCTCGCATTCTGTCAATTTAGGATGAGCTCCCTTTGGATCCTTGTTGTACTTCTCCATGAAGCGGATGAAGTTCCTTTTTGGTCTCCACGAGCTCTTCCTCGGCGTCCTTCTTGCTCATTTCTATTTTGAGGTAGATTTCCTTGAGTTCCTGGATGAACTTGTCTAGGTTCTTGGGATTGTGATACTCCATGGTGACCTTCGGCTTGACGGATCTCTCCCCGGAGGGTTCCATGTTCTCCTCTTCAACTTCGTCCTGATCGGTGGAGTGCCGTCGCTTCTTGGTCTCTGTGGATGTATATTTTTCGGGTTTTTCCTTGTTTTGGTGGTCGTTATTCACATGTTTGAAGAAGGCATCGGCGAATTCTTGGATCTTGCTGGTGTACATCTCAATGTTTTTACGACCGAGATTTGTCTTCATGATCCAGTTGTTACTCATTATGATGTTTCCCTCAGGATCAAATGCTGTAACAATGTTCCTCGCCTCGATGGTTTGTTCTGTCAAAGCTGTTCGCTCTTCGGAGAGTCGGATGTCGTAGCCCTGGTCCTTGAGGAATGCCAGGATCAACAATGCATCTCTTCCTGTTGGCGCATGTGTCAATGCTGCTTCTGACGCGTCGTCATCAAGGACAACGTCGTCGATGCATGCCATGTGGAGTGCACTCT